CAGGGCACCACCCATTCCCCCATCCCGTGCCCCCGTCCCGTGCAGCTCTGTCTCTGCTCCTGGGGCCCAGTCCGGCCCGCCTGCTGGGACACTGCCCCATGTGGGCCTGCATCCGCTAAGGAGCCAGTTACAGCCCCTGTGTCCTGCACATGGGAGCACTAAACCCACCCCATAGAGGGGACACTGACCCCTTGTGAGCCCCATGTCCTGTATATGGGGCACTGACCTTCCTGTGGTCCCCATGGCCTGTATATGGGGCACTGACCTTCCTGTGTTCCCCATGGCCTGTATATGGGGCACAGCCATGGGGCACTAACTGTGATGGTTCTTGGGGTACCAGGACTCTGAGACCCCTCGGTACCCCTGCCCAGCAGGACGGAGTCTAGTGGCTGCTGGGCGGCTCCTTGGCCCCGCCAGCCTGCCAGCTGCTCACGCGCTCTATCTGGGCTACACCAGCCTGGCGCTCGCCTCGCAGGGTAATGGTAGGTGCTCCCCCAGTTCCCGTGTTGCTTTGCATCACTCCCCTGTGCCATGCAGCCCAACACTGGCTGCTCACAGCCATCCCAGAGCCTCTGCCCCACAGGAGCCATGGGCCCCCATGTTCCCTCAAACCGCGCCCCAGGAACCAGGCAGCACCTGGGCGCTCGTGTAGCAAACCATATGCAGGTTTATGGGAATGATGAGAAGTGATGGGAACACCTGGTTACAACCCAGAGCAAAGCACAAGCCACAGCCCTGGCTCTGCCTGTCTCTGCAGTACCCCAGTCTAGCTACCAGAGCAGGGTTCCCTGCCACGCCCAAGGCCCACGAGCCAGACGTTCATGGAAGCCCCCCTCCAGGGGTTCCCTCAATGACTGTGCACCAAGGTCCTCTGCTACCCTGAGATGCGATTGTCTTTGCTCCCTACCAGGGCGCTCTCCGGCGGGCTGGGTCACCTCCCACTGGCTGTGCTCATCGGCAATTGTCTTTACTGGTTTTCCAGCAACTGGCTAGGCTGTGGCCAGGGCAGACTAGAACCGGCATTACCTGGCTAATGGGGGGTGGGGGGGGATCAATGACTGGCTCAGACCCCTCCCCATGGCTGAGTTGCACCCCGAGCTCCCCACACACCCTGGCAGTAGCAACACAGTCTTTGTTAGCTCTTTGGGGCACATGGCGCACAAGGATTGTGAATCTTGAGAAGTCAGGCGCCTCCTGCAGCCTCTCACGTTCCTCCTTCTGGCAAAACGGCCTGTACGGCGTGTTTGGAGCAGTGAGTGTGTCAGGTCTGCGGCGAGAGATGTTTGCAAAGACCAGCTGGCCCTTTGGCAAGAGTCTCTGGGGCACGCTAACCCCACCCCATGTCCCACATGTGGGGCACCAGCCACAACCCTCCGTCCATCCGTGGGCCAGGGTGCTGTGTTCCAGACCCAGTGAGGGGCCCAGGATCCTGTGAGATGAGCCCCTTTATGTTCCAGCTGGAGGAGACCAAGTCCCCTTTGTGGTGGGGGTGGCCGTGTCTGACTCTCTCTCCCCCCCCCCCCGACACAGTGCTCCCCCTCCCTCCCAGGCAGAGGGGATATGAAAAGCCAGAGTCCTGGGCTGCAATTCAGCCGCCAGTCCCCACCCAGCCTTCTCCTATGGCCAGAAGAAAACCCCAGGAGCCTTCTAGCCCCAACCTGGCTGGCGGGGCCCTGGGAAGCTGCTACCCCAGTGACATCCACCCAGCTGCCAAGGAGGCAAGCTCATTCCCAATCGCCCTGATGCCTGCGTGGGGTGAAGAGGTCCCAGGAACTTGGGTGTAGCCAGTGGCCATGCCCCCACCCAAGCATGCCGGCTCCATGCCCCATCCCTGCCGTGCTGCCAGCTCTCATCCTGTTTGCGGGTTTCCACTGAGCCCCAGCTCCTGGAGTCCTGTGATTGCAGCAGGATCTTGGCATCCCTAAGTCAGATTCTTGCCCTTTGCAGTCAGCAAGACAAGTTGGGAGGACGCAACCCCCCCAAAAGCTGCAGAGGCAGCAGGCAAATAAGCAGCCGCTGGCATTTTGCATGGTGGAAAACCTGGTTTTCAAACTGATCTCTCAACTGATGAACACGAGATGGGGTGGCGGCGTTGGTGTCACACCCACTGAGAGGAGGGCTCTGAGGCACGCCCGGCAGCAGGCACTCACGCACATGGCTATGGGGCGGGGGGGTGAGCGAGCCACCAGGAGCTTCCCCAGTTGCTCAAACTGTTTATTTGGTTCCAAAACCAACCCAACGTGCTGCTCTATTTGTACAGCCCCTGGCACACCAGGCTTCTGCCCCAGGACTGCAGCTCCAGGGTGCTCCCATAAGACACACAAACACATACCACTAATTTGAAGCCCAAATGAAAAAGCGCTCTGGCTTCATGTCAGTGTTTCCCGTGGGACAGGGCGGTTTTCACTAGGGTTACTTCTTCCTGTGAAAAAAATCCATGAGGCAGAAGTCCCATTTTCCCAACTCCTCTAGGAACTGACCTGTGGGCCACTGTGCCTTTGGGGAGTGGATTCTCCGCCGTTCGAGGCATCGCTCACTCTGAACGCTCAGCACCGATCATAGGGCTCCCTGCAGGCATCCCTCTGGGCTGGCCCTTCCCGCCCTAGCTGGGCTGCTGCAGGGTGCCGCCTGGCTGGTCTTATTTGGGGGTCTGTGGCAAGGTGCGAGGCCCCAAGGGAAGGCCGGACATGCACTAACGCCCCTCATGAGGCCAGAGTCCCAAATGATGGGCTAACCCTGCCTGCACCCCCCTCCAGCCCCCAGGGGCCCGCCCCTCCCCCTTCACCCACCCCCAGTTTAACAAGGTGATCAGTTTTCCAAGGGATCCCTGATGAGTCTGGTGGGTTCCTGCCACCCCCCCCCAGCCTGCAGCTGTCCCTGTCTGTCTCCACAGGGCCAGGTGGCTGCTGGGAACAAGGTCACGCAGAGCAGCCTTGTCCCCGGGGGGTTCTGGAGCACTGAGGGGCGAGCGCTCGGCACACAGGGCGCTCTGGGGAAGGCAGCTGGGCTGGGGCTTCCACAGCCCCCCACGCAAGTGCAGTCTCAATGCCCCATTCATGTGGGGGAGGGGGAGGGGCAGGACCTGGCTGCCCCACAGAACCAGACTGAGCCCCCCACCCCCCTGGTGGATCCAGCTGAGGACCAAGGGCTTTGACTCAGTCTCCCCAGGTAATATGTCCCCCAGGGGAGCCCCAGCAATTCCCTACCAACCCCGTGAGCCCCTGCGCCAGGACATTGCTCCAACCTGGACCTGGGGAGCTGGTACTGCCCCAAGCTGGGCAAAAGGGGGGGGGGCCCTATGGGACACACACCAGCCCCCGCCCAATTCCAGCTGCCATCCCCTCCCTGCATCACTGCCTTCCCCTCAGCCCCCACACACCCCGCACCTCCACAGCCCACCCGGACCCAGAGAACAAGGGCAGTTGCTGTCTGAGCTGGGAATAGAAGCCCAGTGAGGCTGCCACAAGTTCTGCAGATGCCCCTCAACCCCCTACTAGCCCAGTCCTGGACTCTTGCCCCCCTCCCCTGATAAGCCGGTGCCCCTCACTCCCAACCCGCAGCCCCTGCCAGCCCAGCCCTGGTCTCCCCCCGCCCAGCTCTGCCGGTGCCCCACTCCCAACCCGCAGCCCTTGCTAGCCCAGCCCTGGTCTCCCCCCAGCTCTGCCGGTGCCCCTCACTTCCAACCCGCAGCCCTTGCTAGCCCAGCCCTGGTCTCCTCCCAATTCTGCCGGTGCCCCTCACTCCCGACCCGCAGCCCCTGCTAGCCCAGCCCTGGGCTCCTCCCAGCTCTGCCAGTGCCCCTCACTCCCGACCCGCAGCCCCTGCTAGCCCAGCCCTGGGCTCCTCCCAGTTCTGCCAGTGCCCCTCACTCCCGACCCGCAGCCCCTGCTAGCCCAGCCCTCGGGATCCCCCCCAGCCCCCAGTTCTGCCAGTGCCCCTCACTCCCGACCCGCAGCCCCTGCTAGGCCAGCCCTGGGTTCCCCCACCCTGTGCCCCTCCTGACCCCCACTTCTGATCTCCCACATGCAGTGATTCTGGTTTATTCGCTCTCGGCTCCGTGTCCCCGGGTGGAGGGGAGCTCCCAGGGAAACCACAGGGACCAGCAGCTCCCCCTGGTGTTTTGATCCACTCCCAGCACCCACCTCCCAGGCCAGCCTGGTCCTCTCTGGTCCTGGCTGCCAGGTGGGGGGACCCAGGTCCATTGTACCTGGAGCCAGGACAGGGCACAGAGGGGCTGCAGCTGGGAGCCAGCAGGGGCCTGCCCCCCGTGTGAGCTGCGCAGCCATGGGGTGCGGGGGGGGGGTTATCCTTCACCCCCCCCATGCCATTACTCACCCCCAGCAGCACCAGGGGGCAGGCCCCACTGCTCCAGTCTGGGGCAGGGGGTATCCCATACTGTCCCCACAGGGGTCCCAGCTGAGCTGTGACCAGCTCTGGCCAGGGGTCAGCGCCACACGTTTGCACTGACCATGCAGCACCCGCTGCAGGCCCCCGCACAGCCAGGCTGCGGTGCTGAGCAGGAGGGACGAGGCCAGGGCCCAGGCAGAGGGGGCTGCACGCCCTCAGCAGCAGCACGGGCTCTGGAGGCCGGGGGTGGGGTTTACCCTAGCGGCTGGGGCTCAGCGGGTGTCTATCCTGTACCCTCACGGTCAGCATGCTGGGGACTCTGGCCTGGGGGAGAGATCTTAGGCCCCTCCCTTCCCAGCACTGGCCCAGCTCCCTGCGGCCTTTGCCCTGGGAGGCACAGGGGAGTATTTATCCCCCCAGGGACCCGCTCCCACACTGGGTGCAGGGGGTGTCCCTTTAGCCCCCCCATGCCCGGGGGGGGACATTTACTCCGCCATAGTCACCCCACTCCTTTGCGAGCACTGTCCCCAGGCCCTTGCGGGGAGGGGTGTCTCACACTCCTTTGGCGCTGGGCTGGCCGCTCCTGGAGGCAAGGCCAGTGCGGGGTGTGTGACGATCCAGACCCCAGGGCACAGAAGAGACGGAGCCACTGCTACTGCAGTCGAGCTTTTCTTTCCCTCTTTTTCTTTAAAAGGTGAACGAGGTTCGTACAAACACCAAAAAAATGAACAAAAAAACCAACAAACGGACCCCGGCCAACTAAAAACCAGACACAGCAGAGTCACGGGGCTGGGGTGGGGTAGGGTCCAAGGCTGGGTCGGGGGAGGATAGTCTAACTACTCCACAGTAGAAAAATAATTTTCAAAGGGGGCAAGGAGGGTGCGCCGTGGAGGGCGAGGGGCACTGCTGTGCGGGGTGAGACCGGGCAGGGAGGAGAGAACAGATGGGGGCAGCGCACAGGTTGGGGGACATACGAGGGGACAGACATATAAAGTATCTTCTCTTTAATTTACTGGGGGGTCCGTAAGGTGCGGCCAGTCGAACGTGGGGTGTCGGGGCCTGGCCCGTAGCCCTAGGCTGGCTCTGGGAGGTGTATAAATATGTTGCTTTGGGGTGGGAGGAGGAGGACAGGGCCAGAAGGGGGCTGAACGCCCTGGGGTCAGAGGTCACACTGGGGGATGCATGAGAATACATTCGGAGACTCGATACATTCAGTGACAGCGTGCGGAGCGGGGGGGGAAGGGGGGGAGAGGGACAGACCCCCTGGCCTTGAGAAGACCAGTCCCTTACTCCCCGTAGCGCTCTAGAAGCCCTGCCCTGTAGTGTTTCGGTACCCAGCCCCTCTGCCAATGGGGGGGCAACGTACCTTCATGCCCCAATGGGCTCTGTACCGCTGATGCCAACCTTGCGGGGAGGGGAGAGGCTCAATGATCACATGTAAGGTGGGAGGTTGGGAAGCTGATTCAAGGGGGCTGGCCCCCTCTCACGGGGCCCGGGGGCATACAGTGGGGCTGGGGTTCCCTTGAGGCAGGGCCCCGGGGGTGCTCAGTGGGGCTGCCCCACCCCCAACGTGGCTCAGACGAAGGAGTACTGGTTGTTGACGGCCCGGGCATGCCCCGTGTCTCCCTCTGGCTCCTCAGCCTGGAGCTGCAGGAGCCTCCCCGTGGCCCCGTCCTCCTGGGTCCCCTGTGGTGCCCCCTTCCTCCTCCTCCTCCGGCAGGGAGGGGTTGCCGGGGGCTGGGGCTTCGGGGACGAGCCAAGGGGGCTGCAGGGGCCCCTCCTCCAGAGCTGCGTGCCAGGATGGGGGCTGGGGGGGCCGGCTATGGGAGGTGCTCGGCTCTGTGGAGACAGACAGACAGACAGACAGACAGACGGGGTCAGGTGTTAGCTGATGCCCTTGACACTGAAACCCCAGCCCCCACCCCCCGATCAATAACAGGGTGACAGCCCCCCACTCCCCACATCAGGGACAGGGCCACACAGGAGGCCGTGAGGGCCAGCCTGACAGATCTAGGACCCCTCTCCCCTAGCAGCTGCTGCCCCCCAACATCTGTAACAGCCCCCTGCCCGCGGGAGCTCTGGGGAATAGGGGTGAGCAGCGGCAGCTCACAGACACGCCCCCACCCCCCATGGATGGCATGATGGGCCATGGCGCACACAACAGACACTCACTCCCTCGGGGCCAGGCCCCCCGGCGCGGCTCACACTTACAAACAGTCATTCGCGCCGATGGAGACGAGGCCGGGCGAGTCAGGGCTGCGCTGGGTCGGCTCACAGGCGGCGGCTCGGCTGCCCGCCCTGTCCCTGCCTGCAGGGGTGGGGGGCACGAGGGGGGGAAGACAGAGACGCCCGTCAGATACGGGGACAGACAGATGGATGTGGGGGGGGGACAGACGGGGACAGCCGCCCGGCCTGGGGGGACAGACAAAGCACAGACGGATGGACAGTCATAGGACAGGACAACTGCCAAATAGGGCTTGAACGACCCCCTCTCCTAACACAACTGCGCCCTCCCTTCCCCCCGATGGACCCATGCCCGCCTTCCCCAAGCACCTCCCTCCCTCCCGAACCGTACACACACTGCGCCCACCTCCTTCCCCACCAAGCCGTATGCACGCCACACCCACCTCCATCCCCCACCCCCAGCTGGACCCACACACTCCCCCCCGATCCCCGAGCCAGA